CCATCCATCTGGCTATATGACCTTCTGGATTCTTAAACTGTATCAACCACTTAAGAGCGGCATGGTCGGTTCGGATTAAAAACTTTCTTACATAGAGGTATTGATAGAAGTGCTCTACTGATTTCACTATTGCTAGAAGTTCTCTTCTCGTGACGCAATAATTCCGCTCAGGTTTTGAAAGAACTTTACTAAAATATACAAGAACTCGTTCCTGTCCTCCTTGAATCTGAGATAGCACTTCTCCAATTCACACATTACTTACATCTGTATCTAAGATGAACTCTCCTTCTGGCAGTGATACCCTAAAATTGGTGATGTGATTAAATGCTTTTTCAAGGTCACAAAGGCATTTTGACCATCTGTATCAAAGCGGTAATCTTTTGCTTCCTCTGTAAGTCGCGTTAATGGCGACTTAGCGATATCTGCAAACTTCTTAACAAATCTCCGGTAGTAAGTACATAGTCCAAGACAACTTCTCACTTGATCTGATGTTTGTCAGTTGGTTCTGGCCATTCCTTAATGGAATCGATTTTTCCCTTATCTACGGCCACTCCTTCTTTACTGACTATATGAACCAGATAATTAACTTTACCTTGAAATAGCTGGCACTTCCTGGGGTTTAACATCAATTTTGCAATTTTAAGTAGATTAAAAACATTTTCTAATTTCTTCAGATGGTCTTCAAATGTCTCACCCAAGACGATTATGCCATCTAGATAAACTAGGCATATTTTCCAAGATAACCCCCTCAACACATTTTCCATAAGCCTATCAAATGTCGCAGAAGCATTACAGAGTCCAAATGGCATAACGAGAAATTGCCACAATCCAGATTCTGTGGTGAACGCTGTCTTCTCTTTATGTACTGGGTCCATTTCTACCTGCCAGTATCAAATCTAAAGTAGAAAACAATTTACTCCCACTTATGTGTCCAAAGTGTCGTCGATCCGAGGCAGAGGATAACTATCTTTCTTGGTAACGTTGTTCAGCAAGCGGTAATCCACACAGAACCTCGTCGTTCCGTCTTTCGACTTAACTAGGACCACCGGAGAAACCCATGGGCTCGTAGAAGGTTATATCATCCCGTCATTTTTCAGTTCTTGAACAATCGTTTCAGCTTCCTCTCTTTTCGCCTGTGGTAATCGTCCAGCTGTTTGACGAATTGGCTTAGCTATACCAGTATCAATTTTATGCTTAACAACGGTAGTTCTTCCCGTCTTTCCTCCTTTCGTTACGAAAATATCACGATACTGCCGAAGAAATTCCCTTAATTTCTTTTTCTTCATCTGATTTAGAGACTGTCCCGCAACTGTAACCATTTGGTCGAATTTGTCGTTGGAATTATCGGATGTTGTCGTCTGACGGATCATGGATGTCACAGGTACACAAGTTCCTACTTTTGTCTCTTTCTTGATTGTCACTGGGTAGTCATTGACATGGATATGCCTCACAGGTATTTCTTTAGCTGAAGTCACCAATTCCTTTCCAATTCCAGTATTTCCAAATACTGAAAAATACAAAAATCTGTCAAAAGTATTTTTGACCTCAAGGTTGGCTGTCTTTTTGCGGTTTAGTTCGTTCCAGTTTCATTAAACGCCATTTTCTCGGCGACATTCAGGGCTTTGATCGGTAACTTCATTTTTACTACTTTTTAAAATTTTATTAATATCACTTATAATGCTACCTAAAGTTAAAATCAAAGCTTAATATCCATTAAATAGTTGGAAGTTATCTATGATTTTCTTGGTTCTTACTCACTTATTAACATTAAATAACATTGAATTTACTTTAGATCACATGGTCAATTGCTGTGCTAATTTTTTATAAGTTCATATATGTTGTTAGTTGCTTAACTGTTTATACAAGATCAGCGTATTATGTCCATTTACTTAGTTTCATTCACATGTTTGTTAATAACATTGACTGCTACATATCTTTTTAAGGTAACAATTAACATCGTTTCCATGATTGTGTGGTTCTCATATTGTAAAATTTTTTAGATGAACTGATGATGCTTTCAAAACTCGAAAGCGAAACGTCTTCAAAATAGATAGAAGTAGCCTATCAACTTTGTCTTTTATTTCTCCACCTAGAGACCGATATAAGAACCCACCACTCGTCTGAGTGATACAGACGACTATAAAATTTCTAAAATGAACTTTTGTTTATTTTAATTAATTTTATTTATTTTTTATAATATAATATATATTTATAATTGATTAATATGTTATATATTTTTATAATTTTTTATAAGCCTATTTAAGTTTTTATAATTTTATTTAATTTACATTTTATATTTTAATGAGTAATAATTTTAATTTTTGGACGTCAAACATGTGTAATTTATGTCTTTTTTGTATATATACATATATATATATATATATATATATATATATATATATATATATATATATATATATATATATATATATATTAGAAATTTTATAGTCGTCTGTATATTTACAAATGAAATTTGTTCAATAAAAATTAATAAATATACCCTTCCTACCCTTCCTTCCATACTATTTATGATTATTTTTAGAATATAACGATAGTCAAAATAAAATAATTATATATTATATATAACAAATTCTGAAGATAACAACTAATTTTCTAAAGAAAAAATAAAGGATTTTTAAATTTTAAAGAACTTAAATGTGTATTGTTATTATAAAAAATATTAAGAATTCAGTAATAAGCGGACATACAATTTCATTAACACATACAGTATGATGCAAATGTATGCAATAAATTCATTATTTCAGAAACAGACGACTTTAAAAAAATCTTAAGACCCGTCAATTTTAATTTTTGAATGGCCGTCAACTGCTATATACTTGTTGGACATTACGTCATTAATGTCGGCGTAATGACGTAATCGACGATTTTTTTAAATACAAACCGAATTCACGCGACGGCTCTTTTGAGAGGTCTCCTTATCGCCTTTGCAACGATATAATCATTTGAATATTTATTTCTACAGGGTTCACCAAAATTGTGAACTTTGTTAAGTAACATGGAGTTACAATAAATATTCATTCAATTAACTAAAATACACTCAGGAACGCCACTGGGAATAAAACAAAATAGTGGTTTTTACTGGTTCCAAAAAAAAATACATTGATAACAAACAATGCTACATTATAATTTGAAATTAATTATTGTAGTAAGTATTCAAAGTTATTTTTCAAAAATATTTAAATCAATATTGTCATTGACTCGTATTAATTTGTCAATGATCTGTAAATCTATCAAATAATAGACGTCAAATTTTTACTCTTCGAGTTTTTTGCCAAAATTAATAAAAGCATTTACGAAAATGAAACTAACAGAAACAAAACGAATCGAGATTTTAATCATGATTGGTTATGAAGATAGAATGAGGACTCAAGCAAAAGTTTAGCAGACTCAATGCTAAATACCCCAGTAGCGAACTAATTACTCAATCAACAGTAAGCAAAATTGAAAAAAAAATAGACAAACGGTCCATGTTAAAGATCTTCCCAGAAGTGGTAAAAAATCAATTTCCGAAACCAAGAAACTGGATGTTGTACTGGCGTTTCAAGAAAATCCCCATACCAGTTCTGGGCAGGTCGCACTAGATAATAATGTGCACAAATCAACTGTTGTCAGAGTGCTAAAAAAGGAGAAGTGGCATCCATACAAAGTACATCGGGTCCAGAAGATATTAGAAGATGACTTTGATAGAAGAATCGAATTCTGCGAAACCGTTATGTAAAAATGTAACAGAGATCAGGGTTTCATACAAAAGGTACTTTTTTCTGATGAAACGTCTTGTTTGCTGAATGATCACGTAAATCGCCAGAGATATCGATACTGGCCAAGTAAGAATCCACATTGGATGGAAGAGTATAGGACACAATATCCCGAGAAGGTAAATGTTTGGGCCGGCATTATAAACAATCAAATTGTAGGGCCATATTTTTTTGAGGAAAACTTAACTGCTTTTTGTTATCCAGAATTTCTTCACGATTATCTGTTGCCACAGCTGAATTAGCTATTTTCAAATATAAATAATTTGTGGTACCAACATAATGAGGCTCCCCCACACTACGGCGTTAAGGTACGAAATTACCTTAATAACGTTTTTCCAAGTAGGTGGATAGGAAGAAGGGGGCTCATCGAATGGCCACCACGGTCTCCATATTTGACTCCGTTAGATTTTTTTGTGGGGATATTTAAAGAGCAGAGTGTATCAAAATCGACCGAATAATGTAGAAGAGTTGAAGGAGCGGATCAGAACTGAAATTGCACAAATAACATAAGTCATCGAAAACGTTAGGAAAGAATTTATTGCCCATCTATCACATTGTATTATTGTCGAAGGTCGTCAATTTGAACATTTATTGTAATTTAATTGTATTTAAGTAAACATTTATTGTAAGTTAATTGTATTAATAAACCAATAGTTTTGTTTAACCCTCTAGAAATAAGTATTCAAATTATTATATCGTTGCAAAGACGATAAGGAGACCTTTCAAATGAGCTATCGCGTGACCTAGGTTTGTATTTAAAAAAATCGTCGATTACGTCATTACGCCGACACTGATGACGTAATATCCAACACATATATAACAGTTGATGACCATTCAAAAATTAAAATTGACGGGTCTTAAGATTTTTTTTAAAGTCGTCGGTTTCTGAAATAATGAATTTATTACGTACATTTGCATCATACTGTATAGTAATACCACGTTATAGGTAAGAAGTATTCACTTGTGTCGGCACTGCCCAAGTGTAACGCTCTTTTTTTATGCTCAGAACTGTTTTATTTGAAATTTTTATATCTGTAACATTCTTAAATATTCTGGTTATGGCTGGAATGTATTAATTATTAAAATTATGAATAATACATTGAGATACAAATTAACTGCAACTGTTGGTTTTTACGTTTGGATTTCATAACTACTTGTCTTCTATTTCCTATATTTCGCACAGCAAATATTATTATAATTCATATTGATAATTATCTTTTTTAGCTGTTTTCTGGTAAATGCTGCAGATAGGGTTATAAGAGTATATGATAGCAAAGAGGTGTTGACATATGGAAAAGAAATAGAACCTATTCAAAAATTGCAGGACTTAGTAAACAAGTAAGTACTGAAACTTTTATGTCATATTCAATTATGTTTGTTATCATATCTCAAGTATGTTAACTTGAGTTATATATTAAATAAATACATAATTTTCCTCTTTTTTTATATTGGTACTACAACCGGCTGTGAGTTTTAGCTTGTTGAGTAATAAGTTTCTATTCTCTTTGAAGGTTCTTATCCATCGTCTTATTCTATATCATTTTAAGTACACGTTGTGTATTAATCTATAAGATGTCTCAATAGAAAAATTCTGACAAAAGCTTTCTATGGCATAACTGAAATGTTAAGTATACATTTTATTTTTACAGTAGTATGGTATTATTACGACTAGATATTTCAGAAAAAACATGTCTTCTAATTAATGTTTGTCTTCGAAACAGAGTTAACAATTTGTAAGTCCTATATGGGTACCAGAAGTAATATATTCTTGTAGTGAGTTCCACTTAACTAATGGCAACTTGTTTATAATTCTCAGGAATACTTAATTCATGCGTTGTAACTCTACTCGATAAATGAATTTGTCGAGCCGTTTGCTGTTATAAGCCGCTCATAATGCAGCCAATTGGCTTATTGTATATATTCGTGTAACCTCAGCTTTTTAGTTTAGTAAGCACGGTGGCGACTCTGATATATATATATATATATATATATATATATATATATATATATATATATATATATATATATATATATATGAAAATAAAAGGTTGCATTTCATATCAATGGAAACTCCACCATTGCTCTACACGTGTTTCGGGTTATTCAACCCATCATCAGGAACACTTGTGGAATATCAAACTGAAATGAAATTCAGTCTAGTATTTGGTCATTATAACCAAAATAACAGCCAGGTACGCTAGCAGCGACATCTATACGAAGTAAGAAGAAGTCGAGATACCTCTTTTCGATAGCAAATTAGGTGAACCGCAAATTGAAAGCCTCTTACTAGAGGCTTTTAAACGACGCTAGAAGTATCCTTTTACTTTGACATGCATCTACGAGTCACCTTTGAAAAATACTATCTTTTTCGCTCTTTACGTAGAGAAAGACGTTTAAATGAATGTAAAAGATATCATTTCATTTCGATGGGAACTCTACCATTGCTCTATACGTGTTTCGGGTTATTCAACCCATCATCAGGAACACTTGTGGAAGTTCAAACTGAAATGAAATGCAGTCTAGTATTTGGCCATTATAACCAAAATAACAGCCAGGTACGCTAGCAGCGACATGTATACGAAGTAAGAAGAAGTCGAGAGACCTCTTTTCGATAGCAATCTTTTACTTTCATTTAAACGTCTTTTTCTACGTAAAGAGCGAAAAAGATAGTATTTTTCAAAGGTACAAAGGTTCAAAGAGGCACAAGATCGAAATAGATGGAAAATTATGAGGGAAATCTATATCCAGCAGTGGATAAGCGAAGATTGAATGATGATTATATATATATATATATATATATATATATATATATATATATATATATATATATATATATATATTAAATGGCCAACTATATGGCCTAGGAGACAAATTCGTTAAACTTCCCGTGCTCGAATTGGTATTACTAAAGTGTTATGATCATTTCGGCCTATCCCAGCCATCGTCAGACACTTGGGCTGATACAAATTCAAACTCGGAAAGTAAAACAAATGTCTCCCAAATCTTTACTACCGTGTAGTTAGCTTATAAAGGCGCCCCCTACTTTGAAGGCCGTGAACGAAACGATATGAATAATCGTTTTCTGTATCCTTTATGCTATGCGAAATGTGTAAAGAATTAAATCTTTTAGCGAAAGCCGCTATCGCTTTATATATTAAATGGCCAACTATATGGCCTAGGAGACAAATTCGTTAAACTTCCCGTGCTCGAATTGGTATCACTAAAGTGTTATGATCATTTCGGCCTATCCCAGCCATCGTCAGACACTTGGGCTGATACAAATTCAAACTCGGAAAGTAAAACGAATGTCTCCCAAATCTTTACTACCGTGTAGTTAGCTTATAAAGGCGCCCCCTACTTTGAAGGCCGTGAACGAAACGATATGAATAATCGTTTTCTGTATCCTTTATGCTATGCGAAATGTGTAAAGAATTAAATCTTTTAGCGAAAGCCGCTATCGCTTTATATATTAAATGGCCAACTATATGGCCTAGGAGATAAATTCGTTAAACTTCCCGTGCTCGAATTGGTATCACTAAAGTGTTATGATCATTTCGGCCTATCCCAGCCATCGTCAGACACTTGGGCTGATACAAATTCAAACTCGGAAAGTAAAACGAATGTCTCCCAAATCTTTACTACCGTGTAGTTAGCTTATAAAGGCGCCCCCTACTTTGAAGGCCGTGAACGAAACGATATGAATAATCGTTTTCTGTATCCTTTATGCTATGCGAAATGTGTAAAAAATTAAATCTTTTAGCGAAAGCCGCTATCGCTTTATATATTAAATATATTAAATATATATTTTAAAAAATATATATATATATATACATATATATATATATATATATATATATATATATATATATATATATATATATATATATATATATATATATATATATATATATATATATATATGGCGTACTACTACCAACTCTAATACAATAGAGCGGTTTATTTAAAAAATATGACAAATTTGGTTGACAACCTGTCTGCATAAACCAAAAAATGAAGGAAAAGATGGTTGAGAACTCCATTTCCCCCCCAGTGATCGGTTGAGATGAACAAAGAACAAACAAGCGAGGTCAATCCAAAAAATCATATATTAATAGTCTACGTTGTGACTGGATAGCCAGCCCCAGTTGAAGAATGATTAAACTTCCAACAGTCCAAGGTTCATAACATTTGGAACTGAAATTAATAGGGATTCTATGAATCATTTATAGTAATAAAGTTGTAGGCCATATAGTTGGCCATATAATATATAAAGCGATAGCGGCTTTCGCTAAAAGATTTAATTCTTTACATATATATATATATATATATATATATATATATATATATATATATATATATATATATATCAACAAACAACACAGTTTATTAGGGTTGCAGTCAGAATATTGGCCGGGATGTTAAAAAAAAAAAAACATGATCTTTTGACTTTTTGTCGAGCTTTCGGAATGGTTTTATTCCTTTTTCAAGACACTGTAAAAGACAAATATGTAAATATTTAAAAAATATCACAATTCTTCAGTATAACTTACTAGTCGTTGAGATTATTTTTGTAAGCATTGACACTCAACATTTATACCACACATTAAAATATACAATTATGGACATAATACATTATAACATTTTTAAAATTTATTGTAAAAATAGTAAAACTTGGTTGATGGCATGTTTTACTGGTGTATATTAACTCATACAGAGAATGGAAAGTAAAAATGTAATTAATATATAATTAGGTGTAATTGATGTTATCTTTCTTTTCAAGAAATACTAGAGGCCCTTCTTAGGTGACTATACTTTTTAAACCTTTCTTAATGGTATGCAACATATTATACATAGAGGTGTAATTTATGTACAGGTACAATATTCTGACTGACTGCAACCCTAATAAACTGTGTTGTTTGTTTATATCGACAGTCACTAATATCCAGTATTTCTTATATATAATATATATATATATATATATATATATATATATATATATATATATATAATATATATATAAATTAAGAATCACTCGAAGAGTGGCGAGTTTTTCGGTCAAAAGGTGGAGAAAAAAAGACAAAGATGATGGCTATTTCATCTATTTATTGAAAACGTTTCGCTTTCTAATCAGAAAGCATCATCAGTTTATCTAAAAAGAACAATATTAAAAACCTAACATCCAAAGAAAAGTTATTGTGTTACCTCAAAAAGATATGTAGCAGTCAATGGTATTAAAATTGTAAAGAAGCTTACGACAATGGACATTATAAAATTATGTTGTATAAACAATAAATTCAACTAAATATAGTTAACAATTTTCATAGCACAGCAAAAGACATGTGGTAGTTGTACATGTATGTAAAAAATTATATAAAAAAGCAAGATCTAAGGTGCACTTAAAACAGTAAATCAATAGTTAAGATTGAATTTTGACTTTAGATAGCTTTATTAAAATGATTAATTAAAAATTGAGTAATTTAAAAGTATAATGAAGTTACCACTACAAGCTTCTAGGCTGCTGCCGGTGAAATGAAGGCAACAAGTGTTAAAACGCCACCAACCTGAAAAGACAGACACGGTGTTAAACGTCAACAACGTGAAAAGACAAATGCCAAGAGGTCAATGAATGACAGAACAACAAGGCGTACTACTACCAACTCTAATACAATAGAGCGGTTTATTTAAAAAATATGACAAATTTGGTTGACAACCTGTCTGCATAAACCAAAAAAATGAAGGAAAAGATGGTTGAGAACTCCATTTCCCCCCCCCCCCAGTGATCGGTTGAGATGAACAAAGAACAAACAAGCGAGGTCAATCCAAAAAATCATATATTAATAGTCTACGTTGTGACTGGATAGCCAGCCCCAGTTGAAGAATGATTAAACTTCCAACAGTCCAAGGTTCATAACATTTGGAACTGAAATTAATAGGGATTCTATGAATCATTTATAGTAATAAAGTTGTATTAAACTAAACTATTTGAATAGAAACAATTAATACAATTATACAAAAGTAACGTTGACATTAAGTCATGAAATGTAAGTTGCATAAATCTGAGATAAATTTAAAGAAATTATTATTTTATATTATTTTATTGATATTTGAATATTATTTTAAAAGAAATTGTATAAAGCAAACACCTTAGGTGACAATTTTAAAGTAAATAACATAGTAAGCCTAATTCTAATGCCAAGTTACTAATGTCAGTTCTCTTATTAAGAGAGTTAGGGTGTAAGAGTAGGGTGTAAGTATAGAACACATTTCTAAAAACTGCCTTTTAACGAGATTGCGTTCAGAACCAAGTATCCTAACTTCATTAAAATCTACTTTGTGTT